AAGAAAAATACACTGCAAAAACAGAAACTTATTGACATAGGTAATAGACGTCAAAATGGCTTCAAATGTATTCAGTATTGTATGAACATGTTTGAATTGGGGGGTGGATGTCACATCCTCTAGGGGGGTCCAGGGGTATGCCCCCCCGGGAAGATTTTTTTGTTGAACATTTTACAGTAAAATGCTTCAATCTGGTGCACTTTGAGCACACAATTACTAGAGACCTGATCTAGGGGGCACAACTCTAAAACGCCCATATGAAAAAGGTCGGTCTACATTTTAATAATCAAATAAGTATGTGAACATAACCAATAACCTACCATAGCCAAATACATATACAAATCAAATAAATGAATTTATACAAATAAATGTAGCTTATTTTATTTTTGTTGTTCATTCATATCTTATTTTAGCAAGTTAACATTTATTTATTTATGCACATTTTTGTATCTCTCCAACTTTAAACGATATTTTTGGTTAACTGTCCTATAGTATACATTGGAATGATTTCAAACCTGTTTTTTTTATCCATAATAATTATAAAGGGAGTGCCTTGGAAATATGTGGTTTTACATAAATTGTGGTCAAAACGTTTGGACCCACTGAGATAACTTATACTAAATTAACTACCTAAATACTCAGAAGTCCTTTATACTCACTGAGGCCTCTCAGGGTCTGACAGAGAGCTTCTCTTTCCCACCCTGGTTGTAGGAAACAATCTACTTCTTATAATCGTTAGGCAGCTAGCACAGATTCTATATAACAACAGCGCCGGTACCGGTGCGCCCTCTCCCTGCTCGCTCTCTCGCTACCACACTCGCACTTTGGCTGTGAGCTGCGGGTGCCAGATAAGCCAACATCCCCCAACTTTATCACCTTACGCGCACCACTGTAACAGGGCAAATTAAACGTGTAACGGGTGTGAAAAATCGTTTCATTTACTTAAATATGGAATGTTGTTACATCAAGGCCGAACATTTGGGATGAGCCAGGTCAAAAATGTTTTCCCTCCCAGAGCTACCAGCGCAGCGCCCCCCAGATCTGCGCCCTAGTATGCCAGTACAAAATACTACAATCACATAACAAACAATCAAAAATGAAAAAGGGTCGCCATTTATTATATATTTAAGAAAAAAAAAGAAAGGTACCTCTGGGTACCGGCTGGCGCCACTAGCAGCGTCGCTCATATTTCAGCAGCGGCGCTGCGCCGCCACATATTTGTATATAGGGGAAACACTGATGTTGTTTGACCTATGTTTTCTGTGGAGAGAGCCATGGTCTCTCAAAATGACTTGCTATAGTTTTATTTTCAACGTTACCTTGTTCACAGCTGACTTTTTCAACGTACAACCCAAATCAGATGTCAGCGCTATGAAGCAAGCACTTAAACAGCCTTTTATTATTAAATCACTTATCATTTGAAGCAGTTTAAGGAATTAATTAGTGTTGGCTCTGTGGGAAATTATTATATATATTTCTTTACTTCAATACACTTTGTGCACGGAGCACAACATGAGCCAATACTGACCATGAAAATAATTTGTATCCCTAAAACTAAACCTATAAAACAAGTATTAATTCCTCGAACAAGTGCCCAAGAGTGGCTCGTTCGCCATTAAGATACTCTTGTCTCTTCTGTCTTTTGTATTTTTTGTGTTATTGTTTTCCTTGCCAAGCCCACTCAGCTGGAGACGCTAACAGATAACGGCTACCGAAATGACGTCAGCAAAACCAGTCTTAGTTTGGGCGTGAACTGTTCATTTCAGCCAGTGCTTTCCAGAGCTATACTAAGAGAAGTCCAAGTGGTCCATTAACCTGTGGGCATTTAAAAAAGCTGGTCTGCCATTCACTGCAGTGAACTCTGGACACTGACGTTTTCATCACCCAGAACACTGAGGCGAGTTAACAACCTGTGTGTGTGTGTGTGTGTGTGTTGTTGTGTGTGTGTGTGTGTGTGTGTGTGTGTGTGCTGGTGTGTGTGTGTGTGTGTACGTGCCGTGCGCTGTGTGAGATTTACTTACATGGATTACGTCAGAGCAATATCAGATTCTGCACAAAGACGAGCCAAAAGAAAGAAAATAAGTCAGAATTCAAACCATTGTGAATATTGTTGGTGATTGACATTATTCACCCACGGAACTATGGGTTTGGGTATTGTTCCGCACGGACATAGTGAGTTGACCGGACCCTTGTTTTCCCCGGGTCTGTCTTCCCGGGCTGAAAGCTGTTCTTACATGTTGTCCTGATGTTAAATAAAAGTCTAGCTTGTACCTTCGATTACCCCGCCTCCGACTCCCGGGTCTCTCGGGCACTACATTGGTGACCCCGAATAAGTCATCGTAGAGGGATCCGAGATGAACCGAAGCATGGCCAAATAACGCCGTTTTTTTCAACTGCCGGAGTTTTGGGATACATCTGCGGCTGCATGGTTCGCACAGGCGGAGCTCAGTTCGCCCATCCGCGGGAGTAACTGATGACGCATCACGCTATTTCCACGTCGTTTCGGCACTGGGAAAGCTCCACTGCGACCCGGACGTAGGGCTTTATTAATCTCCCCCTGCCGAGGATAAATATGCAGCGTTCAAGGGGCTTTCCTGCTAAGACTTTCGACTTGTCCTCGGTCGGAACGGGCCCGACCCACCTGCTCGTATTCCATAGCCTGGGAGACAGCAAGCCTTCTGACACACATGAAAATGATGCTCAACCTGCTAGGTACGGGAAGAACCCATTTTTTGTTCATAGAACTGTTTCTTCGGCACATGCCGCCGGCATGTTCAGACAGCGATCGGCTAACAGGCTATTACTGGAGCCACGCGGCTTTAGCCGAAGAAGCTGACCAGGTTCTTCCTGGCAAACCCAGCGTTTTACCCCTGAGGTGCTGGCCCCGACACGCAGCGGGCTCCTTCCCTTGGTAGAGGCATGCCACTAGCAGAAGCTCCAGGGCGACGTCAGCGACTTCCAGCCCTGGCCTGTTCAGTACCATTGCACGCTATGGGCGAAAGCGGAGGATGTGCCGGTCCCCCTGCCACCTACAAGGAAAGGGAAACGCCAAGTGCCTGCGCTCGGTAGTGGCCGCGAGCGTTGGGCACATCCAACGGGCTCCTGTTCATCAGGGGACACCCTCTCTGTGTCGCAGGACTCCTTTGTGACACAGGAGCCAGCGGAGCGTTCCTTGCCGGGCTACGGTGGAGGACGCCGCCGGTGGGGGCCACGGCCACTTTGACGTCCGCTAACGACACCCCTATCCGCACCTATGGCACAAAGACAGTGGACCTGTGTTTTGAGGGTCAGCGGTTTAAGTTGGGATTTCATCACGGCTGACAATCTCCTTCGCCCTCCTTGGCGCAGACTTCCTGTGCGGCTCACGGAACTGCTGTGTGGACGGTCAAGAACAGCCGCCTGGGTTGGACGGCGCTGACGGTTTGCTCGTTCGCATGTA